GCTTCAAGTCATATAAGGGGGGAAGGCTTCAAAACATTCATGGGGGAATTCCCTTATCTTTTCATTCCATTCTTCCCTGAACTTTGGAGAGCTTCCTCCTATGCTTTCAGCCACCCTCAGTTGTGCCTTCATAATGGACGGATTGACTGCTTCTTTTCTTTCCTAGTCTCCGTTTCATCACTGTGAAATGCTGGGGTCTCCCACATTCCCACTGCCACCCCAAGTGGACAAGGTGAGAGTCCCAGCCACACAGCAACCAGGATCCTTTCACCCGCCCTCTCCCACATCCCCTGCTGCAGGTACGGACCAAAGGGAAAACAGCCGGCTGCCAGGGAACAGGCTCCCTGCTCTACCCAGAAGAGGCTGAAAGCTCTGCCTGCATAAGCGTGTGTGTGTGTGTGTGTGTGTGTGTGTGTGTAGAGAGAACATTTCTCAAGTTAGGCAGAGAAGACGCAACAGCACAGCCCAAAGTTTCCCAAATATAGAATCCTTGAGATCAACGCCAGGAAAGAATATGACGGAGGTCTCACTCAAGCATTGCAGATAACTGGTAAGGAAAACGCGCTGGCTCCCTAGTTAGTAGCAGGGACAGAACGAGTGCTAGTCTCCTGACTCCTGTTCCCATGCTTTCCCCACTGCATTCTCTCTCTCTCTCTCTCTCTCTCTCTCTCTCTCTCTCTCTCTCTCCAGCCCCAGCCATATCCCCCTTGGGCCAGGTCCACCAGGGACAACATCCACACAGTCCAATTAAGCATGGGAATGGAAGGTGGTGATGCATCTCTCAAGTAGGAGCCTAAACATGCACTGGCCATACAAACAGATATGGCGAGGTCCTTACACAGGTGTTGTATGAAAAACAGAAATCATCACACTGAATTCCTCTCAAGCAATGTACATATATTGAGCACCTACTGTGAGCCAAGGCCCTTGGCTCTACATGAAGCAATAGTTAAAAGAAAATAAAAGAAGCAAAGCGGCTGCCACGCCCATCTTGGTACATGAGTCCAGAAACACAGCTGACCATCCATACTGCCGCTCACGTGGTAATGGAAATATAGGGGAATCACTGGTACAACCACAATTGACACGAGCACACATGATACAACAGACAATTGTGGGTAAACGGAATTAGAAGATACTAGAAATGGTCCATGGAAGTTTTGAAGACCCGTCCCCAGCCCACCTCCCCTCATATAAGCCAAGGATTCCTGAGGCCTCGAGGGAAATCCAAGTGAACCTGAATACAGTCCCTGGAATTAGAGCTAGGGATTGGTGAAGGCTTTGCCTAAAGCATCACTATTTTCACTGAGTCTTAAAGAAAGAGTGTTGTGTGGTGAGAAAAGGGGAGGGGGGGAAGCAGCACTCCACGGACAGGGACGAACTTGGTCACATGTCCAAACTAGACGATAGGACAGGTTCAGGAACTAGCAAATGGGCAGGCTCACACTACATGGAGAAAGAGCCCCACAGATGGTCACAGCAAAGCCAATGCAGGCAAAGTGGTTGAAGAAATGTGTGGGATGCTACCCTGTAGACTACCCAGGGGAGTCTTTGAAGGACTCTCGATAAAAGGAGTGGCACTCCTCTCTGGGTTTTAAGGGATAATTCTGTCTTCGGTGGGGAGAAAGGATTAGAAATTGGACCCGAGGAAGCAGCTGCAGGAATTTTTTAACTAGGAAATCACAGGGTGCAGAAGCGCTGCTGGGCCTTCTCACCTCCGAGCCCGCAGGATGACTCTGCATACAAGACGAAGCCAGTGTCTGTTCTTGTCCTCTCCCCTTGGCCTAGTGTGCCGCAGGACTTCAGGCTGGCTGTGTGGTCACGTGGGTGCAAGGGAGCGTGCTAGATGAGCCCTAAACAATAGCCTAGACTCATAGGAGAGAGACCCAGGCAAGACGGTGGCCTCCAACCATTACACCACCTCCCCCTCACAGAGGAATACTGCCACCAGCCTGCGTTCCGTCTGATATTCTCAAGCCAAACGGACCTCCAACCCTGCTCCCAACCCTGGGCTCCCATCTCAACCAGGACAAAGGCAGGAGGCGGCCAGATCAGAGGAAGAGCCGAGTAAGGAGGCCAGGGCACGTAATCTGGATTTTAAGACTCCGCTCAGCTGGGACAACAAATATAGAGGCAATTCTGCTGAACACAGATCTGCTTTCTTGGTCAACCAATACATCTCAGAGTCCAAATCATCAAGCACAGGCATGAAAGATAGGGTGGTCATCTCTAAACTGGGGAATAGGTGATGCTCTGCGGGCAGAAAAATAACAAGCCTGGTCCCTACTTATGGTTAGGAGCACCTGAGTGGTGCAAACAATTAGCATGTTCGCCGGCTAACCACAAGGTTGGAGGTTCTAGTGACTCCTTAAGAAAAATCCCTAGCAAGTTCTTTCTTTTTTTTTAACTTAGCCATTGGAAATCCTATGGGAAACCGTTCACTCCTGACCCTTTTGGGGTCACCAGGAGTAGAAATCAACTCAACTGGTCAGGCTGGTTCTACTTCTGTTTACTCATTAATGTCACCCTCCTGAAATGCTTCTTTTGATAGATGTCCTCAAAGTCAAATCATATATGCAAACTATATTTTTACATATATAATACCTAAATAATTATGCATGTCTATTTTGAAATCCACCTGCACAAAACTAAAAGTTTTGTTTGTTTAGTTTTTAATCTGGATATGTGACTTTTAAAGTTTGAAGACAAGTGGGATAAATGATCTATTGCCCCGCCCACTCACTCAAAATCAGAGAACTTCAGTCCTCCACACCAAAAGCTTTTTATCGAGCTCAATTGTGATTGACACGGCAAAATCTACCTCACACAAAAAGTGAGGGGGCGGGATTTAGAGGGTGAAAAAAGGACAGCATCCTCTAATATTTATAAAATAGAAAAGTCTGATTCATCTTGTATCTTCATATCTTTCTTAAAGTGTTGACAGGGAGCATTAGGAAGTAAATTCAAGCCTACGATAAAAGACTTTTTTTGGTGTTTTTTTAATTATTAATCTCTCAAGGAAGCACTGAAAAAAGAAAAGACTTAGATATATAACTAAAACGTATCTGGCCTACAGCCTCCTTTAAAAAACATTAAAGGCATTTGTCTTCTGGACCATCATCCAGGATAAAGTGTGGGTATCTGCTGTTGCAGCCCCGTGGGCCATGCCACTGCCTCCCAGGAGTTGCTGTCACTCACTTTGGGAAGGCAGAAAATCATCTGTGTCTTTGGACGTAGGTCCACATCACATTCTAATGACACAGGCCAACGTTCAATTTACTGCCAACTGGAGTATCTCGGTGAAACTACAACACGCTCCCCGCTCTTGCATACATATGTATGTTATATGGATAGAAAAGGAACACAGCTAGACATTTTTTCCTGTGTAAAATGCCCTCCACTTCCCTTGCCTAAGTACCCCAGACTTTTTCCTACTCTGAATTTTTTCACTTTCAGCCTGTTACAGACTGAAATCAAAGTTGTCGTATTTCAACTAGTAGAGAGCACATCTTCATTCGACCATCAATAATTGAAATGAAAAATAAATTCATTTCTCTATAAGTTTTAAGGTTGAAATTTCAGTGTAGTGCTATAATAGATTACTCATACAGTTCACCAGAAAATGTGTTAAGTACCTCCTGTGTACCAGGCCAGGAGTCCTGGTGGCTTGGTGGTTTGGACACTGGGCTGCTAATGGCAAGGTCAGTAGTTCAAACCCACCAGCTTCACCAAGGGAGAAAGATGGTGTTGTCTGCTTCCATAAAGTTTACAGTCTCAGAAACCCTATATAGGCCTCTTGAATCAGAATCAAGTTGATGGCAGTGGGGTTGTTTTCTGGTTTGGTGTGCCAAGCACCATTCTCTAGAGACGAGAGGGAGTGGAGAAACACAAAGGGGCAAAGTCAGTCCTTTCTCCACAGGTGGGGAACTCCCTGAGGGCAGCAAATGAGCCGCTGCCCAGACCTGCGCCATCGCCCCTCGTCTGCTGCAGATCGGACCACTGCACTGTCATTGACTGAGTGAGGAAGCATCGGTCCAGGCCTCTCTTCTTAGACTGACAGCTCTGCTGAGCCCTGCGCAATTTCACGCCATGGCAACCCAGGAGCTCCACCGGGAGATGGGCAGGGAGGGCCATAGGCCAAGCCTCCAACCCAGGTCTCCCACACCTAAGGGGAAAAATTCCACCAGTGAGCCTCCAAATCTCCCTGGAACTTCATAAACCCAAACTCACTACCATTGGATCTATTCCAACCCCTGGGGATCCTACAGGCCAGAGGAGCACTGCTGTTTGTGTTCCTGAGGTTATGGGGGTAGACAGTGTGTCTTCCTCTTACAGAGAGACTGGGGCTATGAACTGCCGACCTTGTGGTTACTAGCTCAACGTGTAACCCCCTATGCCACCAAAGTTCCTGGCATTTGATAAGCCACAATAAATATTCCTGGCTGCCAACCTCAAGGAACTTACACCTAGTGGAGATGAGAAGTGAGATGGGGGTGGGGGGGTGGAATAAACCCAAAATACTTTCAAATGTTCATCGTATTCTCATTCACCTTCAAAACTGTCGACCCAAATTTCCCTACCTCCCTTCTCTCCTCACAGAACAGAAATCTGTAGCTCACAGAGAGGGTTTATAGTCACTTCCTGGTCTATTTCTAATTTTAATTACAATGTGAGACAAGACTTGGGACAAGATGAGTTCAATTCATTTTTTAAAAACAACAACCCCCATTCGATGCAAGAAGATGGAATTTTCCATACTTGAGACTTTTGTATGTTCTTGATAAGGAAGATGGTCTGGCAGATATCTAAAGTCCGGGCAAACTGTGAGCTAGTGAAGACCCAGAGGTGATTGCAATCAATAAAAGTGGAATGCTTTTCCTCAGTCAAGAATCCCATTCCCCTTCCAGACGCAGTCCTTTTGCCTTCCCGCTGTCTAGGAAAGGAGTCGCTCCAACTGAATAGGAGGTGCCAATGCGGGTGGACTCTCCCACAGTACTTACTGATCCATACAGCTCCCCCTTCTCGTTCATTCCGAGGTAGAGTCCACTGTCGACGCCGCGAATGCTGACCAGGCCCACCGCTATACTGATAAATTCCAGAATGCCTGTGGAACACGTGGGGAACAGGAGAAGCAAGTCAGTGGAAAATGCACAGTGGCTTCTGAAAGGACACCTATGCCAGCTCCCAACTAATGCCTCCTCACACTTGGCAAGGAATTGTCTACACACTGAAACCAATGACCGAAGTGAAGTGATTTTTCAAGTAAATTCTATCCAGTAGTAAGCCAAACAACAAACCCACTGCTTTCCAGTGAATTCTCACTCCTGGCGACCATACAGGGCGGAGTTGAACTGCCCCATGGGGTTTCCAGGTCTGTCACCAACCTTGCTGGACACAGACTGCCTCCTCTTTCTTCAGCAGAGCAGCTGGTGGGTTCGAACAGCCTACTCTTCAGTCAGCAGCCCAGCACTTTGCTCCCTAAGCTACCAGGGCTCCTTAGCTGAGAGCAATGATACAAAACACTTTTCACCATAATGATGGACACGACACACTTTAAGACTAAAACGACACACTTTAAGACTAAAACGTCGGGGAAGGTGGGCTGACATTTAGCACCCTACCATTTGATCTCCATTATGACCCATGTACATTTGTTCCACTTTTTAGTATTTTCTTCATTCTTTCTGATTGAGGTCTTTGATCTGTTTTACTTTGTTATTCTTGGTAGTTTTCTGATGGTGGTTGTCCTTTGCTTCTTAATGGTTGTTTTTTTTTATATGAAATCCAGGATAGGTGAATCTATAGAGACAGTAACTGTAGATTCACGGTTCTTTGGCGGGGAGGGGCCAGGGGAGGTTGGAAGGAAATGGGGAGTCGATAATGATGAGTACAAGAGTGAAGAAAAGGCTCTCCAACTCAACTGCACAACTCTTCTTGATGCGAACTGTCTGAACGATTGAATCGTACGATATGTGCACTACATGCCAATAAAACTGTTGGGGGTAGGGAACAACACCAATAAGCCTGCTGGGAAACTAGATGTGTGGAAAGAGAGCCATTCTAATAACAGAGACCCTGAGAACACTCCCACGGGAGGAGGCCACAACCAGGGCCGCTGAGCAGCTTGTGCAGACATCGTTGCACGGGAATCTGAGCTGCTGCGTTGCCCGGCATCGAGAGCCCAGTGCCATTTTCTTTTTCCCCTTGGAAAACAAACCTTTAAGCGTTCTTTTGGTTTGTTTGAAATTAGCTGGTGTGTCACAAAAGAATGTGAGTCAGTTTCCATTGTTCTTGTCCTCCTCGTGCAACCATTCTGACCAGTGTTTAGGTCTGAGGGGTAAGGAATCTGGGAGGTACAGTAGTAAATAAAAATTTAAAAAAACACTGGTACCGGAGGCATCAAAGAACAAAAAAAATCATATCATTATGAATGAGGGGGAGTGCAGATTGGGGACCCAAAGCCCATCTGTGGGTAACTGGATATCCCCTTACAGAAGGGTCACCGGGAGGAGACAAGCCAGTCAGGTGCAGTGTAGCAATGATGAAACATACAACTTTCCTCTAGTTCTTAAATGCTTCCTCCCTTGCCCACCCCCCACTATCATGATCCCAATTCTACCTTACAAATCTGGCTAGAACAGAGGATGTCCACTGGTACAGACAGGAACTGGAAACACAGGGAATCCAGGACAGATGACCCTTTCAGGACCAGTGGTGAGAGATGCAATACCGGGAGGGTGGACAGAGGGTGGGGTAGAAAGGGGGAACCGATTATAAGGACCTTCATATAACCTCCTACCTAGGGGATGGACAACAGAAAAGTGGGTAAAGGGAGACATCAGATAGCATAAGATATGACAAAATGATCATAATGTATAAATTATTATATAATTTATAATATATATATTGTGGGTGGAATGAGGAGCTGATCCCAAGGGCTCAAGTAGAAAGCAAATGCTTTGAGAATGATGATGGCAGCAAGTGTACGAATGTGCTGGACATGATGGATGGATGGACTGTGATCAGAGCTTTACAAGCCCCCAATAAAATGATTTTTTTAATCCAAAGTAAAACCAAGTGTCTATATAGATATGCCACCAATGGATGGATGACAAACAAACAAATATATTCAAATTAACCCAGAGAGTGAACACAGGACAACGACCTGGCCCCATGTTACAAACGAGAAATGAAATCTTTGTGTAGGAGCACTGATGAGTTAAAACCACAAAAAAGGCGATGCCGAGAATGGGCTTGTGTCTCTCAAAATAAGACCCTGAGGCACTAACCATAGATTGGTTTGTCCAGAAAAGGAGCCAGCCCACTATTAAAAAGCCTTACTAAGCTCCATCTGAGAATTAAAATAAGCTTGAACACATCTGAACTATGTCTGTTTTAACAGTGTTATCAATTTTTGTTATACTGATCTAAAGCACAACGACTGATTAAGCAACTAAAATTGCATCCTTTGGGGGTGGGGGTGGGGTGGAAACGTTGCCTGCAAAGATGCTCTTGATTGTATATACCCATGTGTACCATATCCCCCAAATCAAACAGAACAGTGAGCTTTTAAATCCTCTCTCCCTTTGCTTACCTCACTCAGAAGCTCACCACCTCCAAAACCAAAACCCACTGCCACGGAGTTGATTCCAACTCACAGTGACCCCACAAAGCGTTTCCAAGGCTGCCCATCTTTCCTAAGAGAGAAACGGTCTCCTGCAGAGCGGCTGGTGGTGTTGAACTGCCAACCTTGCAATGAAGGAGCCCAGTGCTTACCCCATAATGCCACCGGAGCTCTTTACCAGCATCTCAGATGAACAACAACAACCACAACAAATCCAGAATGTTATGATCACACAACAGCTTCAGTTTCTCTGTCTGGTTGTGTCAAGATGATCACCACAGGATACATTTAGAGCCAAGCTAATATTACTTGTGCACAGCAATTATCTCATTTTTGTTACAATGTTACACTTTTCCAATGCCTATCTAATATTGGTGTGTTCAAAAACACCCTCAAATATTGAAAATTTTAACTAGTCTTGGAGTTGTGAAAACCAGTAAGGGTTGTTGTTGCTGGATGCTATTGGGTGGGTTTCAACTCACAGCAACCCCATAGCCAACAAAAGACAGCCCCACCCCGGCCTGCTCCACCCTCGTCCATTGCTCTTACGTTTGAGCCACTGCATCAATCCATCTCATCCAGGGTCTTCCTCTTTCCCACTGTCCCTCTGCTTTACCTGGTCGCACAGGGGTTGCGAATTGAGCTATGATCTGCAAAGTCTACAGTCCAAAACCACCAGGCACTCCATGGGAGAAAGACAGGGCTTTCTACTCCAGAAAAGAGTGACCGTCTTGGAAACCCACAGGGACAGTTCTACCCTGCCCGGTAGGGTCTCCATGAGTCAGAATTGACCCAACAGCAGTGAGTTTTAGAGCTACTTTACCAAGCATAATGTCCTTTCCCAGGGACTCGTCTCTCCTGATAACGTCCAGGGTAAGACGCTGCTAGCAGTCAGTCTCCTGTGACTAATAAAAAGCCCTCACATGGAATTTTAGAAATTAATTCTGCAACTCTCACGATGCAGACTGGGCGGTGGAGGTCAGTAGAAGACATGAACAGCACCCATCTAGTAGGCAAAGGATTCAACTCAAGAGCAAACGCTACTCGGGAGGGATAAGTAGAAGAGAAAAGTCTTACAAAGGGTTGTCCTATTTCTTCTCCAAGAGGTGTACATAGCGCATGTTTTCACCTGCCCAAGTACCTTTTTCCCCTAGACCTGCAAATCTATTTCTTTTTAGAGAATGTGAAAACCGCTATCAAGAGGCATGACAAAGTATGTTTGGCATCCCGACCACACAGGTGTCTATCAGGGAAGTTCCGTCTCAAAGCAGTTGCTCACCAGCCTTCCAAACCTGACAACCCCAGTGAGGAAACTAAGGTCGTGTGTGTCTCCACGCACTTCTCTTCACATGGCATTCACGCCTCTCTGAATGCACGCATTCGGTGGCATTGAACTACAGATAACTCTTATGATCCGTGCATGTGGGTCTCAGCCTCAGACGAAGAAACAGCCTGAGACAGGCCTCGTCCTTCACCTGACCTTCAGCTTAGAAGCTGATCGATGTCCAAATTTCATTACGGATGGAACAACAAGAAGCATTCCACCCCTTTTAAAGTCTTAACCATTTCATCTGCCAGGCCAGGGAGGGAAGCTTTCCTCACAAAGCTGAAAGAAACTGGCGTTCTCTCAAAAGGCATTTGACAATCTTGCCATTTCCCCTAAGCCTGGGGCAGCTCTGAGAACTAATCTTATTCAACAAGAGACTGTGTGATTTCACAAAAACCAAATGAATAACAAAAATAACAATAATAGTTGTAATGATGACAACACTTGAGCATTTAATGCATGCCAGTGTAGTCTCAGGACAACCCTGGTCTGATGGGGGAAGTGGGGCTTAAGGAGATTACCCCATCTTAACAACCCCAGCACCAAAGATCCCATACATTACATTAAAAAAAATGCTTTTTTTAAAGTTTTCATTCCGTTCAAAATGTTTTCCATTATGGAAAACACATGATTTCTATAGCAAGGAAATGTTCTGCTTTGATTTTTGTTGTTGATGTTGCCACTAAAGTCCTGTGTTTTCAATAATAGAGTGTATTTTGATGGAATGAAAGCTTTTAAATACGATGGCCTGCTGAGGTAACCAGTGGGACACATATGTCCCAAGGGGAGGTTCTGGTGCTGGGGTGGATGAGCCCATTTCTGCAGAAGCACACAGTTATACAAGCCCATCCCCCAGGCTAAATGTGGCACAAGGGATTCCCACTGAACCCCAGAAATTAAACATGTAAGGAGGCATTATATATTCCAGAGGTCATAAAAAGGTTAAGTAATTTGACCTCAAACAATCTGATTCCAATGCCTAGATCCTTAGTTATCAGGCATAGCTGACAATTGATTTTAATCTTTTTCACTTCAGAAACTACTTCAAATATCTGTGATCTCTGTACCATTTTGATACACTTATGCCCTCACTGGGAACCTAGTTGCATCGTGGGTTACAAGTTGGGCCACTAATTGAAAGGTCAGCAATTTG